AAAAAACACAGACAACAAAATAATTCTTCATGCAGAGAAACAAGTAACAAACAGCCGCCGCCGCCGCTGGTTATGATTAATGCATGAAGCCCAACATCACAGATACAGTCAGTTAAATGGTATGAAGGTGCCTTTATTCTGGTCTTACTCCGTATCACAATTGCTGTCAAGGTAGTTTTTCAATAACGCCATGTACTTAATACTTTTTCACCTCCACCAGAACTAGCTCGTTGCGCCAATATACATACATAGATTGTGTGGATGTATGCAGTACTTATGTAGTTTTTTGACATGTTCGGTATTTGTATAGGACGTTTTGTATTTAAGAGCTTTTAAATATGTTTTGTAAAGGCCTAAAGAAGCCAGAGACTCTTTTAAAGCCCTAAATGTGCAAAGATTCATCAATTAGTATTTTGAAAAAAAAAAAATAAAATAAAAATTGTAGCTTAAAAGTATGTTTTAGAATTTATATATAAGTAGCAACCAAGGCGCTGGCAGAAATATGTGTCTCAGTCTCAAAGAGATTTAAAAACCATTTCCCAAATTTTGAGTTGATTTAAGCAGCGATGTCCATTTCGTAAAACTCAACACAAAGGTTGCACATGGACAGGGTGCTTATTGCGCGCTTTAATGAAATGGCCATATTTCTTCGGATATCAAAGCTGATTGGTAATCGTGCAACGTTAACTTACCATTTCCACAATGCGCTCATTATGATCACGATTTTGACTTTCGACTTCTTCCTTAATTTGTTCGAACTCTTCATTTGCCTTGACCGTGGTTGGCGAAGGACTTTGTTCAGGCTGGCCATCAGTAATGTCGCGCGTCTTTGCATTTAATTCATCGTTGCGTTGCTTTAATTTTATGAGCGCTACCTCCATTCTAATAATAGAATAATGTGTTAATAAATATCATTTAATGTTACATCAATTATTATTTTTTTTTTGTTATTACTTCTTGCTTGTCTCAACGCTCTCCTTCATATTTTCCGTTAACAGTTTGGCGACTTTGGTCAGATTTGTATTTTCCGTCCGCAACGTTTCGTTTTCCTCCTCCAAGTGGTGTTGCTTCAAGAATTTTAAATTTCACATTTCACATTTTTTTTTGCTAAATGGAATATGTACTTACATTCTCCAACAACTCGGCTATTTTCTCATTAGCTTCATACAGCTGCAGTTCCACGACATTCATGGCGTTCTTCAATGTCTGAAATTCGTCAACCAAACGTTCAACAAGATCACTTGTGATGGGCAGTGCTGCTGTGGGTTCCACATCGACAATGCTTTCCATTTCGTTGCTGTTCAGTGTGGGTATAATCTTCAGCAATTTGCTTCGCAAGCTCGCCGAAGCAACGGGTGCCACATTCAGAGTCGAGGTCGGACGACTTACTGCTAGAAGC